TGTGATGTGCATAATCCACCCCCATGTGGTGCAGGACTCACAAGGTCATAACCTAGTCGGATATGACGTGTTGGCCTAAGCCCATCAAGATAAGCATGAGTAACCCTAACAGCCCTATTTTCAGATAAGGCGTGTTGAATCTAACCCCCCAACAAGAAAGATGTGGTAGTCAAGCCTCTGGGTACATGATTAGCTTAACCCTAGACTAATTCTATGGACATTCAAAAACCCCAAAAAACCAAGATATGCACCCTGAAAAATACAGACAGATGCAGGTAAAGAGTTCTTGAATATTCTGCTGAAGAAACGTTTAGCACGTTATGGCATTCATCATTTTGTCACTCATAGTGAAACTAAAGCAGCCATTATAGAGAGGTTTAATAGAACCCTAAAAAACAAACTCTGGAGATATTTCACAGCTAGAAATACCCATCGGTATGTGGACATTTTGGCAGATACTCTTCAGGGGTACAATAACATTTACCATCGTAGCATTGGGACTCCTCCTAACACCGTAATTTTGTCTAAAGAAAGGGATGTGTGGATGAGGCTTTATGGGGTAGCTTTAAAAAGTAAAAGAAAGGAAAAATGTCTTAAGATGGGAGATCATGTCAGGGTATCCAGACTGAAGGGTAAGTTTGAAAAGGGCTATCAGCAAACCTATACGGATGAGACAGTCATCTTCAAAGAACTGGAGACAGGGGGGAAAGAGTGGTGTATAGATTAAATGATTACACAGGTGACCCTGTAAAGGGGGCTTTTTACTTTGAGGAGCTCCAAAAGGGTCCTGCTGACCAACAGCGCATATACAGAATAGAGAAAATTATCCAAAAAATAGGGGTGGGGGAGACACAGAAAGTTTCTAGTCAAATGGACTGTATGGCCAGAGGGGTTCAACAGTTGGATTAAGGAGACTGAAGTACAACATCTTTGATATGGCAGAGTTTTACATCACTCTTCCCAGCAATGCATCAGCAGCAATTTCCCCCCATGGTGTACTGTTGAATTGATGTAGCTTTAGAAAAAGGTTACAGAATTGTTGAAATCTATGAGATCTGGCATTTTGAAAGAACATCAAATGAGCTATTTTCAGGTTATATGAACACGCATCTCAGACAGAAACAGGAGGCCAGTGGTTACCCTGACTGGTGCAAAACAGAACAGCATAAAGAGCAATATATTCAGGATTATGAAAAGATGGAAGGTGTCCGCTTATGACATGACCACATTGAAGTAAATCCTGCTAAAAGACAGATTGCCAAACTCTTTTTAAACTCGCTGTGTGGCATCCGTGGTGACAAACCCTGAGGATTTATTCAAATATGTTTTTGTGCCATATTATGATGTTTCTCATGTGAGTTTGTGGATACAGAGACAGCCGTTGTGATGTGGAAAATAGCCAAGAACCACCCCACCAAATCCACATGCACTAATGTATTCATTGCCAGCTTTACAATAGCTTATGCACGACTGGAATTATACAGGCTACTGGATGGGCTGGGTGATAGGTGCCTGTACCATGACACCGATTCAGTCATTTTTGTAAGTAGAGAGGGGGTGTGGACACCTCCTTTGGGTGATTATTTAGGACAGCTAACAATTGATATTCCACCAAACACTACGATAACAGAGTTTGTTGTGGCCGGTCCCAAAATGTACGCGTATGCTTTACCAATGGCGAAGCGGTGCTAAAGGTTAAGGGAATCATGCTAAACTGTAGTAATAGCAATAAGGTTAATTTTGACAGCTTGAAAGATTTGGTAGATGATTATTGTCTGTCTGGTGTAGAGAGAGAAAAAAGGGTAGAACAGTTGGGGATTGTTAGGGTTAAGAAACAGTGGACTGTAGAAACGCGGGTCCTCTGAAAAACTCTAAAAGTAGTGTATAATAAAAGGTTATTAAAGAGTGAGGATTACTGTATGCTGCCTTACAGCTATTAAGGATGGTGGAAAACATTGCACAATTTGTACACCCTTTCTCCTGTATTATAAGCGGGCCGTCCAATTCTGGCAAATCTTTTTTTTATCAAACAAATGTTAGAACATGGTGATGTTGCGTTGTCTCAAATGCCTCAAAATATTGTATTGTTTTATAGCTGCTGGCAACCTCTGTACAAAGAACTGCTTAATAAATTCTCTTATATTAAGTTTATGGAGGGGCTTCGGTCTTCTTTTGAAGATGATGATTTGTTTCTGCCAAATCAAATCACTCTAGCCGTGATAGATGATATCATGGCATCGGCCAGTGACAACTATCAAATAGAGAGGGCTTTTACACAGTACGTTCATCACAGAAACCTGAGCACTATTCTCATACTACAAAACCTATTTTTCAAGGTAAGAAAATGAGAACAATAGCTCTGAATTCCAAATATTTGGTTTTATTCAGCAGCCCCCATGATCAGATGCAAATTGTCACACTGGCCAGGCAGATGTACCCCACTAACACAAAGTATTTTTAGAAGTATTCCAAGATGCCACTCGCAAACCACACGGGTACCTTTTGGTAGATTTGGCAGCCACCACTCCAGAATCCTATAGGTTGAGAACAGGCCTCTTCCCACCTGATTGGTCTACTGTTTACACAATGAAAAAGAAGTGTAAAAAGCAGTAGCCCAGTTACCTTAGCACTAGTTCATTTAAGATGTCAGAGAGGGTATGTAGAAATTGGGGGCTTTTAAAAATCTTAGTAAAGCCCAGACCAAGACAGAGAAAAGCCATCTTATGCAATGCTAATAATGACCTGGTGGGGGCAATAGCAGAAATAGCTCTGAACACCCTAAAAGGAAACCTTCCTCTGAAACCTTCACAATTCCGGTCTCTAAAGAGAAAGAAAGGTGTCATTAAAAAGTTGAGTGATAGAAAGGTCTCACTCAAAAAGAAGAAGCAGATCATACTTCAGTCGGGTGGTTTTATCGGTCCCTTACTAGGGACAGCTATTCCGCTGTTGACTAGCCTGTTAGCTGGATAAACCATGGACAATGCCAAAAAATGTATCTGGTGTCACGTCATCAGATGGAGCAACTACAGGGCAGGCCGCCTACTATGGGGGCTACAGCCACTAACCGGTTGGATGATGTGATGTGTACCATTCTTCAGAGAGCTGATTTGTGTGAGGATGACAAGATTAAGCTCTACAATTCTGCACTGCAGAGGTATCTAAGACTGACCAGGCAAAATGAGTCTGAAAAGGACAGACTGAATCTCATTTATCCACCGGAAGAAACTCGGCCACTTCCAACATTACCAGAACAGCCGCCACAGCCATCTCCGCAGGACACAGCGATGGATGAGATCCTAAGGGGTGTGAGCACCCGTTACAGGAAAAATGCGGAACTTTTGCTGAACAAAATGAAACAGTATCAGGACGTCTCAACCTGGGATGATCACGGTACCTTTTTATACAAAGGAGTCCCTATTCCTGGTACTAATATTTTAGACTTGGTGAAAGGAGCCTCGCAACACCGAGCCCCTACTGAGAAGCAGAAACCTAAAGGCTGGGATGAATTTATGAATGCTATGGCTGAGGTGAATGTTCCAACCTCTTTGTTGGGTTCTACAGCTGTTAAAGAGCAAATAGAAATGTTGAAAGATTCTCTGGTTGTTAAGGAAGAAACTGCTACTAGCCCCGTCTCTGTTATGACAGCCCCTTTTGGGACTCAGAAACCTCTGTTTACCGGTACCCCCTCTAGCCCTTGGACATTAAATCCTAGAAGTAGGCTCAGGTTTGGTGACTGGCTCAATTAGTAAAATGAATAAAAACACAGTGAAACAAGTAAAAACGTTTAAGTCTTTTTCTTTATTTTACAGTAAGGCAGGCATGTCTGCATGCACTGGTGACAGTTACAGATTCCAAGCCCCCTCCCCACCTTTATAGTTTTTACAAACAGCTTTACCATTTGATCATTTTTAATATCGGCATTGGAGTACATCTTTAAAATATTTTCATAGTCTACTCCTTTAGTCCGGTTCAGTAGAAAAAAATGCAGTGTTGCCCGCAGGTCACAGCGCTGGGGTTGTTGTGATTCCGTGCCAGCCTGTGTTCCCAACAGCTGAGTCTGGAGGATTCTGAGGAGGAGGTGGAGGAGGCCTTTGAGGGGCCGTCAGGGTCAGAGGGAGGCTCTGATGAATTACAGGACTCACGGCTTGATGAAGAGCCTGGCCCCTCCAGTCGTGTTTCTGATGAAGCTCAGCTTGTCCTCGCTAGTGTCTGCACCCGTGCTCTTTGTCAAGAAGATGTCCGGCGAATTGCGGCTTTGCTGTGATTACAGGAAATTAAATGCCATCACGGTACGCAACCGATACCTGCTGCCCCTCATCCCCGAACTCTTGGACTGGCTTCGTGAGGCAAAGATCTTCACAAAACTGGAGTTGTGTGGAGCTTACAACCTTGTCAGAGTTCGGTTGGGTGATGAGTGGAAGACGGTGTTTGGAACTCGGTACAGGCACTTCGAGTACACGGTGATGCCATTTGGCCTGACCAACGCCCCCACCGTGTTTCAGCATTTTATGAATGACATATTCCGGGACTTGTTAGATCAATTTGTCGTGATCTATTTGGATGACATCCTGATCTACTCCCTGTCGCAAGAGGTGCACCATCAGCATCTCCGTCAGGTCCAGCAGCGGCTCTGAGAACATCTGCTGTACACCAAACTGGAGAAGTGCCAGTTTTACCAGATGACTATCGAGTTCCTGGGTCATCACATTTACCACATTTCTCCTGAGGGCATCGCCATGGAGCCGAGTAAGGTCGAGTCTCTGCAGAGTTGGCAACCCCCACGTCATGTGAAAGATGTCCAGTGACTTCTTGGGTTCACCAACTATTATCGGACTTTCATCCCTGGGTTTGCTACCATGACAGCCCCCCTTACTCGGCTCCTGCAGAAAAAGACTCGGTTTCAGTGGGACGCTCCAGAACAACGGGCTTTCCAGGCTTTGAAGGAAGCCTTCATGAAGGAGCCCATCCTGAAGCATCCTGACCTGCAACGACCGTTTGTCATGGAGGCGGATGTCTCTGACATTGCCATTGAGGCGGTGTTACTCCAGGTGACGATGCCCAGCGGTGCCCTCTTCCCTTGCGCGTACTATTCACAGAAATTGAATCCGGCGGAGCGCAACTATACCATCTGGGAGAAGGAGTTACTGGCCATTAAAGTGGCATTCGAGGCCTGGAGGGATCATCTGGATGGGGCGCGACATCAAATTGAGGTCCGGACGGACCATAAGAATTTGGAAAGCCTGCAGACCGCTCAGAAATTGAACCAATGCCAGATCCGGTGGTCTCTCTTTACAAGGTTCAATTTCCGTGTAACGTACATACCCAGTGGTCACAACCAAAGAGCGGATGTTCTGTCCAGGAAGCCCAAATATTCCCAAGCAGAAGACAAGCTTCTGCCCAGGACAGAAGCCCATCGAGTCTTTTGCTACGGTGTGGGAGCCGATAGATGTATGGGCTCGGATTCAGGAGGCCCAGCAGCAGGATGGGTGGGTGGCTCAGTGAAAGGAGGAGGTGGGGCCCAATTCCCCATGGACTCCTGATGGACTCCTCCAATATCGTGATTGGCTCTATGTTCTGGGAGGGCCGCTCAGGGGACTCATCCTTAGCCAGTGTCATGACAATCTGGCGGCGGGGCATTTTGGCCTGTTCAAGACCCTGAACTTGGTCTCCCGTACCTTCTGGTGGTCCCGAGTCTAACATGAGGTCCAGGTCTACATCACGTCCTGTATCCCATGTAGGCAGGCCAAGTCAGCGACAGGGGCCCTGCCCGGACTACTGCAGCCCTTGCCAACACCTAAAAGACCCTGGGGGACTGTGTCCATGGACTTCCTGATGGATTTACCATCTTCTGGATTCATGATGGTGTTCATGGTGGTGGACATGCTGACCAAGATGGCGCATTTCATCCCATGCCATGGCTTGCCGTCTGCCCACGCCACTGGTCGTATGTTCATCTAGCAGGTGTTCCGGCTGCACAGCCTCCCTGATAGGGTCATGTCCGATAGAGCGGCCCAGTTCACAGCCCGTTTCTGGCAGGGTTTGATGCAGGCATTGGGTGTCAAGATCTGCCTCTCGTCCGCACATCATCCCCAAACTGACGGAGGGACCGAGAGGGTCATCGGGATCCTCGAGCAATATCTGCACTGCTATGTCAATCAGCAGCAGAACAATTGGGCAGACTATCTGGCAGTGGCTGAGTTCGCGTTCAATAACTCGCAACACACCTCCATGCAGATGACAGCGTTCTTGGCCAATGTGGGATATCACCCCCAGTTTTTCCCTCTTTCCCTGCTAGACTCACCGGTACCAACAGCGAACGACTACATGGCAGAGTTACAGGTGATCCATCGATTGGTGCGGTGACAGTTAGAGAAGGCCAAGGCTGACTACAAAAGGTTTGCTGATCGGTCGAGGCGGGATACGCCTCCACTAATGGTGGGAGATCGGGTATGGCTGTCCAACAGGAATCTACCATCAACCTGGCTAGCCAAGAAATTAGACCACCGATATATAGGACTGTTCCTCATCGAGGCTGTCATCAATCCGGTTGCCTATCGCTTAACTCTGCCACGTTCCCTGCGGGAACATCCAGTCTTTCACCAGTCTCTGTTGGTCCCTGAGCAACTGGCATGTCCACTTCGCTGAGCCGAACCTCCCCCACTGGAACAATGTGATGGAGACAGTGCTCCTGAGTACGAGGTTGCCAGCATTCGGGACTCCTGTTGGGTGAAAGGTCGCTTTCAGTACCTGATCGAATGGAAAGGCTACGGACCAGAGGAGTTCACCTGGGAGGATGCGACCATCATTCGTGCTCCTGCCTTGGTGACCACCTTTCATGAACAATTCCCATCCCGACCGCATCCAGATCGGCAGACCCGGGGGAAGGGTCCTGCGGTGTGGGATAGTGTCGTGATTCCATGCTGTTGTGATTCCGTGCCAGCCTGTGTTCCAAACAACTGAGTCTGAGGAATCTGAGGAGGAGGTGGAGGAGGCCTTTGAGGGGCCGTCAGGGTCAGAGGGAGGCTCTGATGAATTACAGGACTCACGGCTTGATGAAGAGCCTGGCCCCTCCAGTCGTGTTTCTGATGAAGCTCAGCTGTATGAGGAGCATGAGTCAGATTCAGAAGGCTCACACCTGGATGTGCTAAGTGATGCTCGCAGATGTCGTCAGGTAGCGAGAGAAAAACAACAGCAGTCAATGCGACAACTCCAAAGTAAAAGGAGAAGGCAATGAGAGGCAATGCCCTGGGACTGCTGTATAAAAAGGGGAGGTGTGGGCATTGCTGGTTGCTAAACGCAACCGTTTGCAAAGTGCTTCTTGGAATCCTGGTCTGTTCGTCTTGTTTGCAATGTGTTCCTGTGGACTATTTCCTTCCTTTGGACTTGAGTTTTGCTGTTTGTGTTTTGGACTTATTGACAGGTTTGTCACCCAAATAAAAGGGATTTTTTTTTTAAGTCTCCAGCCTATTGTATCAGCAGGGCTTTGGTCCTTATGCCTCTAACAAGGACGGCAATAGGCTGGGATAGAACACGTGCCAGCCTGTGTTCCCAACAGCTGGGTTCGGGGAATCTGAGGAGGAGGTGGAGGAGGCATTTGGAGGGCCATCAGGGTCAAAGGGAGGCTCTGATGAATTACAAGACTCACGGTTTGATGAAGAGCCTGGGCCCTCCAGTCGTGTTCCAGATGAAGCTCAGCTGTGTGGGGAGAATGAGTCAGACTTGTAGGATTCACACCTGATGGACATGATTGATGCTCATAGATGCAGGCAATTAGCTAGAGCAGATCAGCAGCAGTCAATACAACAGCTCCAGGGGAGAAGGAGAAGGCATTGAGAAGCCACGCCTTGGGACTGCTTTATAAAAAGGGAAGGTGTGGGCGGTGCTGGTTGCTGAAGGCAACCGTTTGTAAAGAACTTCCAAGGATCATGGTCTGTTTTGTTTTATCAGTGAATTTCTTGTTTAAACTTCTGTTCTGTTTGTTTTTGTAACCAATTATCTGTTAGGAAAGTATTCTGTGTTCTGTTTTGAAGATAAACTTATCAGGACTGTTTTGAAAATAAAAAGAGGTTGGTTTTCCCAGCCTACTGTTTAAAAGGGGTTTGTTCTTGTGACGTAACAAGGATGGACGTAGGCTGGGACAGAACAGGGGTTTTGCAGTTGATCTTGGTGAAATGTGTACTTCTCAGCTTGCCAGGAAAGTCAGGGCTATCCGGCGGTCTTCCATAAGAATAAAAAAATTCACCATATCTGGGAGATGGGAAGTAGAGGGCCAGCCAGTGTTCACCAGGCAGAGTGCGAGGGTGGGTATTTACAATTAATCCAAAAGGTCTTTTAGAGATTTGTCTCTGGGGTAGCAGGTCACAAAGGTAGACCCCTAGAAAGGCAGTATTTCCAGAGAACAAGTGGAAGAGCTGCAGTGTGTCCATACTCACATATAATCAAAAAGCACATTCCTTGTGTGACTTATTTCAATAAGGTTTTCAAAGATTGCATAGAGAATCATGTTGACAGTGTTGGGGAGGTGTTATGCAAATCTAATTTCAGCTCTGAGGTTACCTTTCCTGATCAAAGAATAGTGCTCAGAGAACCCCTGATCAGGACTCAAGTCAAAACAATACAAAGTATACCCTCAGTTAAACTCTTCCCGGCTGATTAACAGCGGCCTGTCTTTCATGCCTTTGCCTGTGGCTTGCACCATCTGCATGTACTCTCTCACAAAAAGACCGTGCTCATAATCAGGCTGAAGAGGCTTTGCGGAGATCTGCTCGCCATCACAATGCAGGGCACAAAAATTGACATTGCAGTGTTGAAAATTGAACGGGTTTCTTTCATAATCCCCACTAAAAGATGCATTGTCCACAAACCCAATCACTAATTGTTTAGGCAGCTACCCCAGAAATAGATTTTCCTGATTACACACAAGGCTACCTGCAGGAATGCTGTAAACCTTTATCCCCACTCGATCATTGGGGTATTTGGCATTGGAGGTGAGCAAAGCTTCGGCATGGCCAAGGCGCACTCCCGGGGCTACTTTTACACGTTTTACAAAGAGAGAAGCCATCAGGAGTTGCACTTTGTAATTCTCATTGCCATTCTTCATCACACAAAATTCATTTCTGCTTCTTGTGAGTTTGACTTTCACATCAATGCCATTAATTAGCAGTCTGTCTTGAAAAAACAGATCGCTATGCAGAGGCCCTAGCAGGTCCCATTTACGACTACCGGCCATGTGTCTTGCTCTCGCTTTGAAACCGGAGTTTCCAGCAGCTGTCAGTAGAGTACTCTCCATGAGGTCCGAGTCATCTTTGTAAAACCCACCAGCTGTAAATTGGGTACCCAGCACATCACCACCAATGTTCAGAATCAGTTCAATCATGGCCTGATAAGAATAGCAATGATGGCTCTGTGTAATGAGCCAATTTCCCAATCCAGCTGGTTAAACAGTGATGCTATGGGGTAGTTGGTCAGGGCCACCCTTGCCCCGTCATCAATATCCACCCTGTCAGCTTTACAATCTTGCAACTCACATACAGCAGGGTGTTGTTTAAATCCATGTAATGCTCACCATGCCCTGTGATAAAAAATTCCAGGGGCGCGTTGGGTGTTAGCGCTGATAAAGGAGGGATCTCGACATAGGTACTGTTTTTAATACTGGTCTGTGTAGGCGCCAGTTGAAAAAGATCCACTTCTGATTTAACACATTTCTCTGAAGCAGAATGAATAAATGACATATTGTATTAGAATATGTCTTCCTTGTCACAGGACTTCTTCTTCTGCTCACGTCTCCTCTTGGTATGATGGGGCTTTTTCACAAGCCTTCTCTTTTTAAATGGAATAGGTGGGCCCAATGCATAATTCTTCCTGGCTATGAACATTCCTGATCCGTCCTGCCCCCTCTCAACAACACGGGATACAAGATGCCCCGCAACATCTCTGGCAATGTTTTTGGCAGCAGATTTCACATGCGGCTTAATGATTTCTAATTCTCACCTCAAAAAAGGCATTGCTTTTCAAAAAAGCCCATGGAACAGACCCCCTAAACCTGTCCCATACATAATGGGGGCTCCTCGGAAGCCTGGAAGGCCGCCACTGGCTTGTGCCCTGTAGTAAGCCACGTAGTCTTGAGGGCTCCTGTGCTCCTTGATTACAACCATCCTTCACTTTTCCAATGCCTAAAATGAAGCTTGACAATCACCTTCCTGTGATAAAAATGCACATTTTTGTCTTAGTCGGTTTTGATTTCTATAGTAATGGTATCGATGTGATGTTTGCTGATCGGTACATAATGTGGACGGTCATAGGTCATTGTGATGAAATCATTGTCTTGCCCTTGCACAGGCACACAGTGCAGTAATGGCACATAGAAGTCACCCACTATCTGGAGCTCTACAATGTCTGTGTAAACATATAAGGTGCTGAACCCAGGGAACATACCTAACAGATGTCCAAGGTCTCCGCTAACTAGAATGGTATGCAGTTCATCTCC